ATCTATAGCTGTAAGCACATTAAAACAGAAGATCTGACATCAACAACCTAACTTTATTTAAAGGAACTAGAAACACTTCAAGGTACTAAAGTGTGAGTGTGTGTGTGTGTGTGTATGTGATCTAAATGGTTTTCTACTTAAAAGATGATGTCATCTGTGAGCAGAGATAATTTTACTTCTACTTTACCATTCGGATGTCTTTTTATTTATTTTTCTTGATTCATTGCTCCGGCTTAGTCTTCCCTCACAATATTGAGAAAAAGTGGTGAAAATGGGCACCCTTTTCTTCTGCCTGATCTTAGAGAAAAATATTTCAATCTTTCACCATTGAGTATGATGTTAACTGTGGGTTTTTTATATATAGCCTTTATTACGTTGAGCTAGTTTTCTGTAACATGACTATAACAATAATCCCTACAATATCAATATAATATGTATTATACTGCATATCATTTTTCCAATGTGCTTGCATAGGCCTCACACATATGGGAATCAAATATTTTTAGGAGCTGCCTCTGCCTCTTTAAAAGACGTTCCCCTGGTGTTTTGAAAGTTCCCGGGTTCTGTCTGTCCTCTAAATTGTGTGGGTCTAGAATACAATCTTGTCTTCAATGACGATATTTGGAGCCTTAAATGAGATGAATTATGTAAGGTGCTTAAAAGAAAGTTGGATACAGCTTAAGCCTTTGATCCATTGTAGCTTTGAGTTTATCTTTATTATTATTATCATCGCATTGATGGCAGTCTCCACAAACTCCACAGCAATGACCCAGTGTTGGTGGGGGTGTCCCAGCTTCATGGAAGGCACCTCTCTCAGGTTCCAACTTTCTCTTAGTGAAGATCCCAGTCATGCCTGATTACATGATCTGGAGTGCATGGACCTGGGCTTGCCTCCAAAGTTGGGCCCCAGGAAAAAGAGCCAAAGGAATTGACCAGAAAACAGGAAAAACAAACCATATCAAAACATAAGATAACAGTACCTTTGGTCTGGTCTGAATGTTTACCCTCCACAGTCTTCTGGGTAAGAATGACTTTGGAGAAAGCCACTTCTCTATTTTCTCCTAAGAGGACGTTAACATCTTCATTTTGGGAATAGGTGGGGAGATAGTTTCAAAGTCTTGGGTAGTGAGCTTGTAAATACAGGTCTACATCTGATGATGTCACCTGATGTGGCCCAGGAGATAAGTGGCTTAAGGGTTATGCATGAAGAGGTTTGAAGGGATTCTCCTGGCTCCTGCCAGGAGCTAGTGAATGACAAGTGTTCCCGGTGTAATGTTCACACTCTTCAGTGTTTATCACCCAGAAACAGGGGTTCAGCAGCTGGCAATGAGATGTGCTGATTGTATGGGCTACTCTGCCCACAGCCCAGGGAGGGACAAGATTTTAGCTTATCCCATAAGCATTGCTTAATGTCTGAACATAAATTAACACCAAATTAACACCGCTGAGTACATCCAGCTCAGATCATTGACGAGTGGAGGTTGGGAGTGGTAAGGGTTTTGTGAACAAATCGAGACTGAGTTTGGGAGCTAATTATCACTGCATGAGGTCAGAGGTGTGTGAGCTGCCTACATATCCACGACAACTTCTCTGGGCCCAGTCTTGGGATCTAGAGCCCTTCACACTCAGTCTACTGAGTGAGCTCAACAATCATAGAAATGCTTTTACAGTTCAGCCTGACCCCAGGCTGGGCTATGCCAAAGCCTGTTTTGAAAACTGTTTTTTTCCCCCACCACAAATAACAAACAATAAATCCCCCCAAACCCCAAATTCCATGTTCCATCAATGACCAATGATCAATTTTAACAAAGAAGAGAAAGGGCCATCTCCATTTGCTAGGCCTTTGACTTTTTTCTTTATCCATAAAATGATTTATTTTTATTGCCAAGTCTTGCTTGAGCTCTTGTGAATTAAGTGTTCAGTGTTTTCACCATGTCAGAGCCCTTACACTCAAGAAAATGGGTCTTGATTCACCAAATGATAAACCAGTGGTGTTTTGTAAACCTGCATGCTTGAAGAGAGCTACTAAATACTGATAGTATTAATTATGAATAACTGACAAAGCTGTTGATTTCTATCATTCAGGGTTTGTTTCCCCATCAATTAAAAAATTATACACTTTTTTTTCTTATTCTAGACAAGCAGATTTTTATAGTTAAGGATTTGAAAATGCACAAAAGTGCTGAGATGTGAATAAAAATCGCCTATAATCCACCTCAGAGCATGTTGATGTTAATAGCATTGTATGCGTACAGACTTACACAATTAAACTGAATCTTACAGAAAATGTCATACAGCCTTAAAAGATCTTTATCATACAGTATTTTCTCGCGGCACACAATTTTTTCCAAATGCAGACTTTATGGCTACCTAGCATTCAACTGCATGTGGCATCAAAGTTATTTATTCCATCCCCTACCATCGTCCATGGTAGCTGTTTCCAAATTTTCATGATTCTATATAAAACAGTGATAAACATTTTTGGATATTCATGTTTGCAATTAACTCACTATCTCCTTAGGATAGACTCCTGGAATTGGAGTGGCTGGGAGGCAGTACGTGCACATGTTAAAGGTTGGCAAACCTTGTTGATGTTTCCCAAAGAAAGATTGCAGGAGTTCATTTTCCCACAGCAGCGCTGAGCATGTCCATTCTCATCAGCTTTAAAGATCAGAAACAGAAACAGGAACAGTAATGTTTTGTGTCTCTTTATGAGACAATCAGTCAGATGCCGCCGCCGAGGAGACATGAGAAAGACGAAGTTGATTACATGCGCAGTTCAGAGAGGAGGCCAACGCATACCACTCAGGGCCACACTGGAAGCATCAAGCTTTGGTCAAGTGGCAGAAGACAGGAGCTGGGGACAGCTGGGACCTCAGTCCTTATTTTGGTTACAACAGTAAAGGCAAAACAGGGCAGAGTGAACAATTTAGGATTGGCCAATTGGAATAAGTTTGGGGGGCTTTTGGTGGTCTCTAGTTGTCTGGTAGCTGACCCTGGGCTTGTCAAAGTATAGGAATATTACCTTTTGAGATGTACAGGCCAGATAGAAGGGAATGGCTCTGGATGGGTTACTTGGTGCATCATAAGCATGCTCCCAGCTGAGTCCTTTGCTGTCTCTAAGAACTGGCTAACCCCAGAAGCCATTCTCAGCTAGAAAGATTTTTTTTTATATCAAACATCATACTCAACAGAAAATAAAAATATACGCAAAACAGGTAAGTAAACAAGTGAGACCTTTTTTTATATCTGAACTGCAAATTGAAGAGCCTACCTGGACAGGGGGCAAATCTCCATTCTCTGATGATTTCACATGCAAGTTTGACTATTCTTAAAACCATAAAGCTGGATTTTGTAGCCTTTGAGTGGTTTTGGCTGTCAGTCAACATCCTCTGAGTAGATGATAAAAAAGGAAAGCACTTTTCCCCCCAAATTCGTCCCAGGTCCTAGGTCTGGAACTGAAATATCCTGTCTGGTCACGGGTTATGTTGTTTCTCTGGTTTGTCTCTGATACTTTGAAGAGGGCACCTGCAGAAGGGGACCCAGGACAGGGCGGGTATGTGAGGGCTGGTGGTGGTCACTGAGGTACGTTTTAATGCTTGTTCTTCTTTCTCCATGCTTGACTCTTTATATCTGCACATCAGCAATCACAGACATGCTTTTTAATCAAAAGTGACAGCATATTTCCTTGTGTTATTGGTGAGGCTGTAGAGCAACAAGTTATTGGTCACACTTGGTTGGAGTTTAGATAACCTGAACCGCTACCCTGAACAGAAGTGCCTGCAGGTTGAAGAACTTCCTTCCTGAGGTGTCCATAGAGGGTCCCTTTTGGTCAATGGTAGGTAAAGCTTATGTGCAGTGGCACCAAATATTCTTAAGCTAGAGGTCAAAATCAGCCTCATCTCGTGGCTTCTAATAGCTCTCTCATTTTAATAACATTCAGAGTCTCTACCATGTAGGAGTTTTATTTTGGAGAAGTGACAAAGTTTGTGGTTGAGATTTATAAACAAAGAGCCATATCTAATAGCTCCATCTATCCACCCACCTATCCACTGATCCATCCATCCATCCACCCATCCATCCATCCATCCATCCATCCATCCATCCATCCATCCATCTATTTATTATTTTATTCATCTGTTTATTGGATTTTTACTATTGGTCAGCTAAAAAACAAACTCATCTTCTATCAATTAAGATAAGTATAGTTGTGCTATGTAATTCACACTTACTGAATTTAAAAAACAACAGTTGATTTCATCTGCACATTACATGTTCACTACAGCTTATCTGGGGGGCTCCGGTCCATCTCATTCTTACTCTGGGATTCAAGGTGATGGAAGAAGTGCTACCTGGAACATTATTGGTCACTGTTGCAGAGGGAAGGAGAGTTCTGGAGGCAATTAAACTCTTTGGCCTGCAGGAGCAGATGCCATTTCCATCGTGACCACTGTCCAGAGCCAGCGCATGGCCCCATCTTCCTAGGGGACCAGAGTGGCCAATCCCTCCCTGAGCCTGGAGGTCTGAAATGGTAAGTATTTGCTGAACAGCATCACTGACCACAGGTCTCCTCTCTGGTCTCAAGACAGATGGTTTCTAGTCACTTGGTGTTAAGACAGTTATTCACTTCGGTCAAGACAAGAGCTGCTCTTTGGTCTGGGGCTGCTGTTAGTGTGGGGAATTTGGCACGGTTTTTTAGAATGTGAATATAGATCTCAGGCCACAGTTTGGTAAACTTCACTCTTTGGAAAAAGCTTTCCTCTTACAGTTTAAATTTTTCTATGCTACATATCTCAGATGAAGGAGATATAAAAGGGAAAAACAAGACGTGCACACATGTAATCCCAAAGCAAATACATCCAGAACTTCCCTCTCTGTTCTGTTTTCATTCTTTGTCTTCCTCCTTCCGTCTCAGCCCATGAGTCACTTGTTTCATTTTGGTTATTTTAATACTTGACTATTTCCTACATTTAAAAAAAAATGAGACTACCAATAACAGAGACGTTTTAAAACTACTTTTATTTTGAAAAATTTTTTGGCTCCTTGCCTTTTGAAAGCCTTGGCTTTGTTCTCTGTGCCTGCTACTTTACTTCTTCAGACCTGGCCAAAGGAAATTCCCCTGCGCCACAAGGTATCTGCAAAACCTGCTGTCTTACGTGCTTGCAAAGGGCAGGGGAGATCCGCGGCCCACTTGCCATGTGGCCTCACGTCGAGGGACGCCGTGTGATGAGGCTTGGAGACACGCACTTGATGCCAGTGACAACAGCTCTCAGCCATGTCTGGCAGCCACTTACTTTCCCCAAGCATGTCATATTATCACCTGGCAACAGCTGCTCTCCTCCTTGGGAACACAGATTTGAGGTCTCATGGCTTCCCAGGGATAGGGGAAAAATGCAGCAAAAGGGTTTGGGGCCAAAACCCATTTCTTTTCCCCAGAAGGACCACCTGGGGTCTCTCATGGTCTTCGGCTCATCTTTGCAGCAGCACTAACCAGCGTGGGCATACCCTGCCAGGAGGACTTCTGCCTAAGGGAGAGAAGGGGTCTCTTAGGACCTTGGTCAAACCCTTGCCTTGAGCAGACGGGCGCTAGGCTTCAGAAGGGAGACAAACCCCACATGGTTGTAATTAGGGGTTTTTCTTAAGTCCCTGTCACACATGATCAAGTGTGCCAGGACTCAGGATCACACTTCCTCCCAGTACTTCCAAGCACTTGTGTGTGACCTTATCTGACTAAGTCTGGGGGCTGAGGAAAAGCCAGCCCGCCCCTCTCACCAACCCCCACCCAGTGCACCTCCACCCACAGCTCTCTCTCCCAGCCAGGTCTGGACCAGAGATGCCCCGAGATGGGCAACATTGGTGACATCAGGGGGACCCCAGAGGGTCTTCATTTCACTCCCAGAAGCAGGCAGAATTCTGAAAATCACCCTCATGGGCCTACCTCTGCTCCACAGGACAACGGATGGCCCGAGGAGCTCAGGTTCACCTCGCCCACCAGGGTTCTCTGTTCCTTTAAAATCCTACCTTTCTTGGCCTTCTAACTCAGAGGAAGTTCTCAGGACTGCGTCCCCTCCTCCACAGCCCTGAGAGCTTTGCCTGTAGAGCTCCTTCTCCTCCATCTGTGAGCAAACCTCCTCCCATAGGCAGAAACCACAGGCACACACACACACCCACACAACATACCAACATCACACAGACACCATGCACACACACAAACCCACACAACACACCAACATCACACAGACACCATGCACACACACAAACCCACACAACACACCAACATCACACAGACACCATGCACACACACAAACCCACACAACACACCAACATCACACAGACACCATGCACACACACAAACCCACACAACACACCAACATCACACAGACACCATGCACACACACAAACCCACACAACACACCAACATCACACAGACACCATCACACTCATAAACCCACACACAACACACCAACATCACACAGACATATATAAACTCACACACAACATACTGACATTACACACACTGACATCACACACACATAAACCCACACATAAAACAGTGACATCACACATACATAAACCCACACAAACACACCAACATAACACACACAGACACCACACACACATAAAACCACACACAACACACCAACATCACACACACACATAAAACCACACACAACACACCAACATCACACAACACATAAACCCACACACAACACACTGACCACACACAGACACCACACACACATAAACCCACACACTCACTGACATCACACACACCACACACACATAAACCCACATACAGCACACCAACATCACACATACACATATAAACTCACACACAACATACTGACATTACACACACTTACATCACACACACACATAAACCCACACATAAACCAGTGACACCACACACACATAAACCCACACACTCACTGACATCACACACACCACACACACATAAACCCACACACAGCACACCAACATCACACATACACATATAAACTCACACACAACACACCAACATCACACAAACATATATAAACTCACACACAACATACTGACATTACATACACTGACATCACACACACATAAACCCACACAACACACTGACATCACACACACAGACACCACACACACATAAAACCACATACAACACACCAACATCACACACACACATAAACTCACACACAACACACTGACCACGCACACACACCACACACACATAAACCCACACACGCACTGACATCACACACACCACACACACACAAAGCCACGCACAACACACCAACATCACACATACACATATAAACCCACACACAACACACCAACATCACACACAAACATAAACTCACACACAGCACACTGACATCACAGACACCACATACACACAAACCCACACAAAACACACCAACATCACACACACACAAACCCACACACAACACACCGACATCACACACACACATATAAGCCCACACACAACACACTGACATCACACACACATACACCACATGCACACACATAAACCCACACTCAACACACCAATATCACACACACCAACATCACACAGAAACATAAACCCACACACAAAACACCAACCTCACACACACTGACACCACACACACACATAAATCCTCACACAACACACTGACATCACACACACAGACACTACATACACACACAAACCCACCCAACACACAGACATCACACACAGACACCACATGCACACATCACACACAGTCAAACCTCTCTCTTACGCACACTCTTCCATCACACCCTCACAGAGTCATGACACATGAGCATAACTACACACATATCACACAAATATTCACCAACAGGACACACAGACACCCCCACACACACACACAATGCACACACCACACAACCGTCTCCCTGGGCCCACACCCTGTCCACGCACACACCACGGGGAGCAAAAGGGGCTGAAGTTGCTCTTGCCCCCACCTCCTGCGGGACGAGGGTGCACCTGAGACCAGACCCAGCAGGAGACGGGAGCCCTGGGAGCAGCCCAGCTCCAGGTCCTCTGTAAGAGTGTCCCGGTCACCACCAGGCTGCCCTGCACGGCTCAGCAGGTTCCAGTGGTGCAGGAGGCACGGCCAGGCTGCAGGGAGGTGTGTCAGTGGTGCAGGGGGCACAGCCAGGCTGCAGGGAGGTGTGTGGGGCTGGAAAGCGAAGGCAGCGGAGACTCCCTGCTCACTCTGATGTCAGAGGAGGTAGGGAGCCGTGAGGAGTGTGGCAACTGTGGTTCTGTCCGCGTCCCAGATCTCTCGCTGCCCTCTGCCTGCCTGCAGCCACAGGACCTGCTGAGCTGGGCAGGGCAGCCTGGTGGCAGCCAGGTCACTCCTGCAGAAGACCTGGAGTGGGGCTGCTCCCGGGGCTCCCACCTCTTGCTGGGTCTGGTCTCGGGTGCACCCTCCTCCCGCAGAAGGTGCCAGCAAGACCAGCCTCTCCTGCTTCTGAGGGTCATCCTCTCTCTAGAGCCCTGCCCTGGGCTTCCCTCCTTCCCTACCTGGTTCTCTCCTCCTTCTGTGGATCCTCTCTAATAAACACGTACTCCCCAGTCCTCATGTCAGGGTCTGCTTCAGGGGACACAGGCTGCTCGGCGGGGGCTTCCACGGTGGGGACTCCCATGGCTTCTTTCTGGCTGCCCTGCCCTCAGGCTCTGCCAGTGGTGGCTCCCATTTCCCTCTCTCCCCTAAAGAAGAGCCTCCACCAGGTCCTGTTCTGGGCCTGTCATCCCAGGGTCTTTGGCTCTGTCCTTGGTGGTGCAGGTTAAATGATGTCCCCCTCAAAATACAAATGTCAAGGTCCTCACACCCAGTACCTCAGCATGTGACCCGATTTGGAGTTAGGGTCTGTGAGAGGTACTCAAGTAAAAGTGAAGTCACACGGGTGGGCCCTGATCCAGTAGGACTGGTGTCTTTGCAGAAAGGGGAGATCTGGAGAGAGACAGGCACAGGGGGAAGGTGATGTGGAGAGCCGGGGAGCAGATGGCTGTCCCCCAGCCAAGGTGGGAGGCCTGCACTGGACCGGCCAGCCACCCTCAGGGGGATCCAGGCTGTCCAGAACCTTGATCTCAGACTTCTGACGTCTAGCACTGTGCAAGAATAAACGTCTGTGGTTTAAGCTGCCTGGGGTGTGTTCCTTGGTGATGGCAGCACCAGCAGACACCCGGTGAGCAAGGCTCTGCTTTGTCTGGGCCCTCGTGGTGTCCCATCAGTGGGCAGAGACTTGCCTGTACCTGACAGAGCCACGTGCACCTGGGTGGGGTCACCTGGTGCTCACCAGTCTCTTCACATGGAACATCAGGCCTGGTGGACGAGACTACCCCAGCACAGGCTCCACCTGCCAGCCTAACTTGCTGTGGGTGCTAAGAGAAGTCTTTTGGGCAGTTTACTTTTTTATTTTTCTTGAGAACCTGGAGATGGAATCAGCCTGCAGTACCTGCCTGAGGCCCTGGGAGACTCTGTGGAGCTGAGTCCCGCCCCTTCTCAGCCTAGGGGCAAGTGTGACTGCTGAGAAGGCCCATCCAGGCTGATGGGATGGTGGGGCCTCAGGCAAGGAGGTGACCCTGGCTGTTCCCCAGTGAAATGTAATTTCTACCTCCCTCACAGGACCCAGGACAGCTCGGAAAACCCCTCTGAGGAGCTAAACTGTATCCAAGGAAGTAATGCTGTGTTCTTGCCCTCTTCCCGGGTACCCACAGGGCAGTTCTCAGCATTTCAGAGCCCTTGGAGCCTCCAGTGGCCTCCTGCTGTGGTGGGAAGAGCCAGCCAGCCAGAGCTCCAATTCCAGACCCACTGCTTACCCACTTTAAACTAACCTCACCTCAGTTTCCCCACCTGAGTGATGGGGATAAGACTATTCCCTTCAGAGTTCAGTACAATGTGGGCACTCTGTCAATGTGCTTGCCAATGTTCTAGGAAACAACAGTGGCTCTGGATGATTTGAGGAGACAGCAAGGGTAGTGATAAGGACAAAAAAATAAAACTGGCTGTGCCACAGAAGGAGAAGGGGAAATTTAGGTAAGAACCCAAAAAAGCATCAGTTAGCCAGAGAAAGATTTTTGGGAGGGGGGCTCTGTTCCAAGATGGCCAAATAGGAACAGCTCCAGTCTGCAGCTGCCAGCGTGACTGACACATAAGATGGGTAATTTCTGCATTTCCAACTGAGGTACCTGGTTCATCCCACTGGCACTGGTTGGACAGTGGTTGCAGCTCACAGAGGGTGAGCTGAAGCAGTGTAGGGTGTTGCCTCAACTGGGAAACACAAGAGGTCGTGGGATTTCCTTTTCCTAACCAAGGGAAGGCATGACAGACTGTACCTGGAAAAATAGGACAATTCTGCCCAAATACTGCACTTTTCCCAAGGTCTTAGCAACTGGCAGACAAGGAGATTCTCTCCCATGCCTGGCTTGGTGGGTCCCATACCCACGAAGCCTTGCTCTCTGCTAGTGCAGCAGTCTGAGATTGAACTGTGAGGCAGCAGCTTGGCTGGAGGAGGGGTGTCCGCAATTGCTGGGGCTTGAGTAAGTAAACAAAGTGGCCAGGAAGCTTGAACTGACCAGAGCCCATCAGAGTTCAGGAAGGCCTACTGCCTCTAGACTCCACCTCTGTGGGCAGGGCATAACTGAACAAAAGACAGCAGAAACTTCTGCAAACTTAAACACCCCTGTCTGACAGCTCTGAAGAGCTCTGAAGTGGTTCTCCCAGCATGGCGTTTGAGCTCTGAGAATGAACAGACTGCCTCCTCAAGAGGTTTCCTGACCCCCATGTAGCCTACCTCCCAGTAATGGCTAAGAGACACCTCATATAGGCAGGTGCCCCTCTGGGACAAAGCTTCCAGAGGAAAGACCAGACAGCAATATTGGCTGTTCTGCAATATTTGCTGTTCTGCAGCCTTCGCTGGTGATATCCAGGCAAACAGGGTATGGAGTGGACCTCCAGAAAACTCCAACAGACCTGCAACTGAGGGACCTCACTGTTAGAAGGAAAACTAACAAACAAAAAGGAATAACATCAACATCAACAAAAAGGACATCTACACCAAAATCCCATCATCACCAACATCAAAGACCAAAGGTAGATAAAACCACAAAGATGGGGAGAAAACAGAGTAGAAAAGCCGAAAATTCTAAAAATCAGAGCACCTCTTCTCCTCCAAAGGATCACAGCTCCTTGCCAGCAACAGAACAAAGCTGGACAGAGAAGGACTTTGACAAGTTGACAGAAGTAGGCTTCAGAAGGTCGGTAATAACAAACTTCTCCAAGCTAAAGTAGTATGTTCAAACCCATTGCAATGAAGCTAAAAATCTTGAAAAAAGGTTAGAAGAATGGCTAACTAGAATAAACCATGTAGAGAAGATCTTAAATGACCCGATGGAGCTGAAAACTGTGGCATGAGAACCTCGTGACACAAGCACAAGCTTCAGTAACTGATTCGATCAAGTGGAAGAAAGGGTATCAGTGATTGAAGATCAAACTAATGAAATAAAGTGAGAATATAAGGTTAGAGAAAAAAGAGTAAAAAGAAATGAACAAAGCCTCCAAGAAATATGAGACTATGTGAAAAGACCAAATCTACATTCGATCGGTGTACCTGAAAGTGATGGGGAGAATGGAACTAAGTTGGAAAACACTCTTCAGGATATTATCCAGGAGAACTCCCCCAACCTAGCAAGGCAGGCCAACATTAAAATTCAGGAAATACAGAGAGCACCACAAAGAGACTCCTCGAGATGAGCAACCCCAAGACACATAATTGTCAGATTCACCAAGGTTGAAATGAAGGAAAAAATGTTAAAGGCAGCCAGAGAGAAAGGTTGAGTTACCCATAAAGGGAAGCCCATCAGACTAACAGTGAATCTCTCAGCAGAAACCCTACAAGCCAGAAGAGTGGGGGCCAATATTCAACATTATTAAAGAAAAGAATTTTCAACCCAGAATTTCATATCCAGCCAAACTACACTTCATAAGTGAAGGAGAAATAAAATCCTTTACAGGCAAGCAAATGCTTAGAGATTTTGTCACCACCAGGCCTGCTTTACAAGAGCTCCTGAAGAAATCACTAAACGTGGAGGGAAACAACTGGTACCAGTCACTGCAAAAAACATGCCAAACTGTAAAGACCATTGATGCTAGGAAGAAACTGCATCAATTAATGGGCAAAATAACCAGTCAACATCATAATGACAGGATCAAATTTACATATAACAATATTAACCTGAAATGTAAATGGGCTAAATGCCCCAATTCAAAGACACAGACTGGCAAATTGGATAAAGAGTCAAGACCCATCAGTGTGCTATATTCAGGAGACCCATCTCATGTGCGAAGACACACATAGAATCAAAATAAAGGGATGGAGAAAGATCTACCAAGCAAATAGAAAGCAAAAGAAAAGCAGAGTCTGCAATTCTAGTCTCTGATAAAACAGACTTTAAACCAACAAAGATCAAGAGACAAAGAAGGTCATTACATAATGATAAAGGGATCAATTCAACAAGAAGAGTTAACTATCCTAAATGTATATGCACCCAATGCAGGAGCACCCAGATTCATAAAGCAAGTCCTTAGAGACCTACAAAGAGACTTAGACTCCCACACAAAAATAATGGGAGACTTTAACACCCCACTGTCAATATTAGACAGATCAATGAGACAGAAAGTTAACAAGGATATCTAGGACTTGAACTCAGCTCTGCACCAAGCAGACCTAATAGACATCTATAGAACTCTCCACCCCAAATTAACAAAATATACATTCTTCTCAGCACCACATCACCCTTATTATAAAATTGGCCACATAATTGGAAGTAAAGCACTCCTCAACAGATGGAAAAGAACAGAAATCACAACAAACTCTCTCAGACCACAGTGCAATCAAATTAGAACTCAGGATTAAGAAATTTACTCAAAACCACACAACTACATGGAAAGTGAACAACCTACTCCTGAATGACTACTGGGTGAATAACAAAATGAAGCAACTTCAGCAAAGTCTCAGGATACAAAATCAATGTGCATAAGTCACAAGCATTCCTATACACCGGTAACAGACAAACAGAGAGCCAAATCACGAG